GTCGCCATTCTGCAACCTTCCTCAGGGCTAATAGATAATGGCAAAATGTAATCGCATTATGCCCCGAGGAAGATCACAGAATGGCGACAGAAAACTTCGCACCTTTGCCGAAGCACCTTTGCGGCGTCCACCTGGACAGCCAAGGTAAATAAAAAAAACGGAGGCGTCACTTTTGAAGTTTGGTGGCGGCATTCATACAGGACACGACGCCTTCTTAGATGAGAGAGTTAATGAAGTAAATAAAATTGCGGTTGCAACTTAAGCTGAACTTTGCAGTCGGTGGAGACCGATCGTGGGCCTGATGGCCTGAGTGACGGTAGGTTTCAATGAAGTAAAGTCAAATTGCAAGTCGGTGGCCCGACGTTCGTGGACGTTCCGCTGCTGCGCCTCCTGAAGTTGTGGCGGTTGCAAGCGCCGCTGAGGAGTTCTTGAGGCACAACGTGTGGGCGGCGGCGCGCTGAGCGCCTGAGCCGGGGCTCCCAGCGGCGAACCGGCGACTTCCTCGACCTGCTGCTGGAGCTGCGACGATAAGGGCCGCATCGCCGTCGACGACGGCGACGAGACAAACGCCGACGACGGTGAAGCAAGGCCGCCCGGACACCAGCGCCGCCATCTGTGAGTGGAACGCCGCCCCCACGCCCTTCTGCCCTTGCTTCTTCGCTTGCTCTCTCCCTTCAGCTCTACAGTCCCTCTTTCCTTACACCTAACCCTTCCTAAATACTATTTCTCTTTCTCCCTTAATCCTTGCCCATCTGCGGCTTGTTTCATTCGCTTGCTTCTATGCCTCCAGATCGCAGCCCCTCTTTCCTTACACCTACCCCTCCTAACCCTATTTCCTCTTCTCCCTAACCCTGCTGTCCATTTACTCCTTAACCTACACCCACCTCATCCTACGCGTTTGCTGTTCCTATCCCCCTCACCTTCTACACCGTCATTCCTACTACCTCCTCCCTTTCTCCCTTCTATACTCTCTCCTTCCTATCCCTCCTACCCACCTCTTCCTACCCCTCATTCCCTACCTACTTGCCTTCCTACCCCTGCCCTTCACTACCCATTAACCCTTCCTACCCCTGCCCTTTCCTACCCCAACCCTTCCTACCCTTGCACGCTGTCCTACCCCTGCCCTCCTACCCCTGCCCTTGCTACCCCTACCTTCCCTTTCCGCCCCGCCTCCTCCGTCTTTCCTCCGTTTCAACACCTTCACCCTCCTCTCCCACTTCAATACCCGTCCCTCAGTCTCTCACGCCATTCTTCTTCCCACTACCAATCCTACAATATATCCTGCAATCCCTGCTACTCGTCCCCTACCCGCCTACACGGCCCTTGGTTTATTCAGTTTACGTCTCACCCTGGATATTCATTGAGGGATGCCAAACAAACGAGCGAACAGAAACTTGCAAACAGTTTTCGAACTAAACATTCAGACCTCAAACCACGGGTCTTTAGCACATTAGTGGTCTCGAAAATGAAATTTAAGCATGCCTTATCTTGCACGACTAAAAGTTCAAAACGTGACAGGACAGCATACGCTATCGCACCGCCCTTGTTAAAACTGGAAATTACGTTCAGTGCATGGACGAAGCGCTGTGAAGGAAGAGGACAGTGCATGGCCAGCTAGAGGAGCGATATTTTTTGGAAACATTTATTAAAAAGACAGTTATTTTTCAAACAAATATGGTACTTTTAATGAGTATTCAATTTGGCATTTAAGTAGAAAAGAAAACATTTTGGTTCCCAATAGCCTTATATCAAAATACACATTTAAATGTTTGGTTTTATATTGACATTTCTATCCGAAAAGTATTTTTCAAATGCACCAGTATATTTTAACATTCTTATAACCTTAAGATTTAATCATGGCTTCTTTAACCTTTTTAGCATAATACCCTTCTTATTTCTTTAAAAATCTTAAAACAGGTGTTAGATAATTCATTAATATGTACTATAATATATAATATAAGTATTTACCACCTTTGAGTAATTTTTAAACTTATCTTTAATAGTTTACTCAACAGTTTGCATTTTAAACAGTGTATTCTTCCGACAGTTTGCACAAAACACAGGCGGTCAACGAACGCTTTTCATTGTACATTGTGCGGTCGTTAAACACGAGGGCCAGAACCGTTAGGTCAGTGAAGTAACGCTTGGCGGGGAGGGAACGGGTTTTGAGCCTAAAACTTCCGGGAGTTTCGCTCTGCGGTTGGACTCAGGTAGAGCCGCCAGAGCCAAAAAATACCGTTGGCTGTAAACTCCGAGGATGCTAGGCCAGCAAGCCTCGCTTGGTTAAGCAGGCGAGCCAAACCTTGAGGAATCCGTGTGTTGGGCGTGAAACCAAGCTGCTGGCCAGCGAGCCTATCTATGGACAGTGGTGGGGGTGTCAGCCTCAACTATTTAACGCGGCGCCATCTGCGCCCGCGTTCTCATTCAGTCAGCCATCGGGAGCTTTACGTGTATGTACTGAGGAGTGAGGAGTGTGGGCGAAGAGTCCGGAGAGTAAGGGCCAGACGGTCTCGCGGCTGTAGGCACACGGTCGCCACGACCCGAGTTAAATTTTGGTGTCAGGCCAATGCTGACGGTAATTGTCACGGACGGAGGTCCGGAACAGCTCGCATCACGCGTGGCTTGTATTTTATTCTGCGGTAAAGCAGGGTATTGAAAGGAAAAAGGTTGCCGAAGTGTTTTTAATATTTAGCAAATTTATCTGTCAACTTGTAC